ATGAGGTCTCGCCAAGTTGTCAGGCGGGTCTCAAACCCGCGGGCTCAGGCAATCCACTCACCTCAGCCTCCCAAAGTGCGGGATTACAGGCTGAGCCACCGAGCCCATTTTTTTTTTTTTTTTTTTTGAGACAGGATCTCACCCTGTTGCCCAGGCTGGAGTGGAGTGCAGAGGTACAATCATGGCCTCAATCTCCTGGGCTCAGGCAATCCTCCAGCCTCAGCCTCCTAGGTAACTGGGACTACAGGTGTGTGCCACTACACCTAGCTAATTTTTTTAATTTTTCTTTCTTTCATCAGACAAGGTCTCCCACTCTGGCCCAGGCCGGAGGGCAGTGGCATGAACATATCTCACTGCCTCTTTGGACTCCAGGGCTCAAGTGATCCTTCCGTCTCAGCCTCCTGAGTAGCTGGGACTTCAGGCACACGCCACCATGCACAGCTAATTTTCAAATTTTTTGTAGAGACCTGGTCTGGCCATACTGCCCAGGCCGGTCTCAAACTCCTGGGCTCAAGCAATCCTCCCCGCTCAGCCTCCCGCGTCGCTGGGAGTGCAGGCATGCACCACCATGCCTGGCTGCTTAACTTTTCTTTCCTGGAAAGCTATTTTAGCGGTGACAAATGATCCCCGTTGGACAAGGAATCTCCCATTTCTTTGTAAAAGCAACTGAAAACTCCTGTGAGCTTGGGGCAGAATGAAGAGGTTCTGAACCGACAGAGGGGTGACCAGACATTGCATTGCGATTACACCACAGAAGGGTGGCCCAGACCCAGCTCTGCCCCACCCGACCACCCCCCCTTGCATCTGCGGTGTCTCCTGTCCTGACTTAGGGTTCCATGAACCACTCAGACACTCAGATTGGGGAAAGGGAATCATGGGTTTAGGGTCCAGGCCCACGTACTCAGAGAGCACCCTAAAGGTGAACAGGAAGGAACCTTTCCCTGCAGTGACACACCCTACTGGAAGCTCCTCCTTATGCCAGGCTTTCCCATCACAGGGGCACAATCCCTTTCCTGCTCAGCCCAGTGGCCCGTTGCGTGATGGAGTGAAAAGCGGACAGCTCTGGGGGACAAACCTGAGCTCAAATTCCAGCTGCCCCATGCCAGCTCTGTGACCTTAGCTGAGTTGCTTAACTTCTCTGAGCCTCCGCCTCCTCTTGTGTAAAATGGAGGGAACCAGAGTTGGCTCGTGGGGCAGTTGTGAAGATGAAAAGTGTGGGTACAGACACATGAACGACCCCACCTGGGCCTCCTGCCTGAATAGCTCTGGCTGGACTGAACGTGGCTAAAGACTTCAGAGACCAGCCGGGCTCGGAGGCTCAGCCTGTAATCCCAGCACTTTGGGAGGCTGAGGTGAGTGGATGGCCTGAGCCCGCGGGTTTGTGACCCGTCTGGGCAACTTGGTGAGATCTCATCTCTACATAAAATCAAAAATCAGCCGGGCGTGGTAGCGCGCGCCTGTAGTTCCAGCTACTTGGAAGGTTGAGGCGGAAGGATCGCTGGAGCCCGGCAGGTCGAGGCTGCGGTGGCCGGGAGCGACCACTGCCCTCCAGTCTGGGCGACAGAGTGAGACTCCAACTCAAAAAAAAAAATTACCGTGAGACCACACACGCAGGACAGCATGGCTTAAAGTGGGGCACTTTCTGAGGAGGACAAATTGATGCTGTCCCAGGCAGTACAGGGTTTCTCCAGGTTGTAGGAGTCGTCACAGGTCACACGGAGAAGCTGGTACCTCTGAAGAGACCATCAGAGAACTCCAGCAGACGGTGGTGGGTGAATCCGACCATCGTCCAGAACAGGCCTCCCACGGGGTGGGATCACGGAAGGCGCGATGGCGACAGCTGCTGAGCTGGCAGAAGGACACGCATGGGGGGTCCATTTGGCAAGCAGCCCCTCTCCATCTGTCCCTCTCCTCGCCCCTCATCCAGAAAGCTTCGGCTCTGATCAAGAGCCTTGATTGAAGGTTTTGTGTTCTGCCTGAAGAATATTTCCAATAAAATGTACAGTCCTCGCCGGGCTCAGTGGCTCAGCCTGTCATCCCGCGCCTTTGGGAGGCTGAGGTGAGTGGATCTCCTGAGCCCGCGGGTTCGAGACCCGCCTGGGCAGGCGAAACCTCATCTCTACAATAAATCAAAAAATCAGCCGGGCGTGGTAGCGCCTGCCTGTAGTCCAGCTACTCGGAAGGCTGAGGCGGAAGGATCGCCGGAGCCCAGCAGGTGAGGCTGCGGTGGCCAGGAGCGGCCACTGCACTCCTGTCTGGGTGACAGAGTGAGACTCCAACTCAAAAAAAAAGAAAAAAAGTACCGTCCTCAAAAAACCAAGTGTAGAGACCGGTGGGCACTTTGGTAAGGCCCCTCCTTGCCCCTCACACACAGCTGGTCTTCCCGGCTGCTGGCAGCTCCTTGAAGGGGACCACGCTCCTGCCCTTCGCCTTGAGACGCAGGAAGGCGGCGGCCTGGGGAGTCCTCTGTGCCACTCATATCTCCTGGGACTGGGGTCCCAACACTCCACCGGGGGCCTGTCCTGATGGAGCAGCGCGCCCTCCGGTCAATGCCCCGGGCCTTTCAGACTCGCAGGACCGGGATGGGGCCACCAGGAGGCAGCAGGGCCTCGGATGTGAGTGCCGGAGGGGGTGAGGGGTGGGGGGAGGCGGCGCCGGGCCCCAAGCTGGGCTCTCGCTTGGCGAGTCAGGAGACCCCCTGCACTCCCTACCACACTGCGTGGGCTGGGGGAAGCGAGCCCAGGCCGGGCTTGAGCTGTCCCTCCGAGGCCGTCCCCGGGTGCCTGTGTCTGGGTGCCCGCTCTGCGCTGCCCTGGTCACCCTCCCCCCGGGCAGGCACGGGCTGCGGCCCCTCCAGCCTGCCTGCCACACCGGCTGGCGTTTATTTGCCAGGGCCGGGCCTTCTTGAGAGAGGAACAACAGCTTGCGCGGCCGCCGGGACCTGGTTTCCCGGCACTGGCTGCCCCGGGTGGCGGCCGCCACTGTGCCGGCTTCCTGCCATCCCGCCTCCTCCTCGGTCGCCCAACCCCCCCACCATGACCTCTGCAGGACGGACCCCTGCAAGCCTGCCCCTCCGGCAGCCTCCCCGCTCCTCACCCGGCGCGCTGTCCGGCAGAGGGCCGTTGTCTGCCCCTTTCAGGGTGTGGATCCTTCTGCCTGCCCCTGAAGGCCTCACCCCAGGGTGTGACCCCAGCTGA